AAAAAAAAAAAAAAAAAAAAAAAAGAAAAAAGAGTGGGGATGAAATAGACTAACAGCAACAGAAGTGAGCGTCTGTTTCCCATCGGTTCTGGCGGAGGGAGCATGGACCGACACCATGCATCTCGGGGGCTGTGCTGGGCCCACATGGCCCCCGGACAGGCCCAGGGGCCCCTTTGGTTGCCCCCAACAGGAACACGTGGCAGTTGCTGACCCAGGCGCACGTTTCCCCGCCCGACTTGGACCCAACTGTGCAAGGTGACATCAGATTTATTGAGGACCATGGCCGGACCACCTCCTGCAAAGTAAATGATAATTTATATTATTTATATATGAATAGATTTGAAAATAAATTAGTATTTATGTAAAAACAATATTCATTTCGAAATCAATTTATTTCAGAATGATAATAAATTCATGTGTTAACATTAATAATGATTTTTAAATGAAAAAATAAGAATGTTCTGAAACAACAACAGACTCGATATGACAGTCTGTAAAAAATCATTTTACATTTTTGCCAGTCTCTTTGTCTGGCTCACTAGGAGACAGTGCACAGGAAGATTCTCACCTCGGCCTCTGCATTCAGTCTGCCTTGATGTGCTGTCTGGCTGAAGTGTGTAAGGAATGTCCAGCCTCTCAGAGACATACTGCTGGACAAGCGAGAGGTATTTTAATGCCTTTTTAAGGCAATTGTGGGTCTTCTGCTTTGATACCAGCCCAAAACTGGACAGGTGGGAGTTTATTAAAGATTCCTTACCATGTGGATTCTGAAACCACCTTGATGAGTTTTGTGAAATGTGCATCCTCTGTCCAGTAACAACCATCGGTCGGTCTTGCCCTTTGAATGGCTCTTTGACCCCTGGGTGATTTTGTATATCGGCTGTTTGTCACCTGGCAAACACGGGTCATAGGGCGATGCAGATCTTCTAGATGTTGACACGTTTGATGACACTTATCCAAAAAGCACCTTTGTTAGCATCACCATCCAGCTCGTCAGGAGAGTCCTCAGCTCTCGGGACTCTCGGGCTCACCATGGAGACACACATTTTCCCAAACCCTCATTTTTGCCTGAGAGCTCAGATTTTTATCCTTGGCAACAGATGCTGTCAGCTGTTTCTCTTGAACTGCCAGCTCCCATCACTCATTTGTGAGAAGATGCTCGTCCACAACTCCAGCCTGAACAGGCATAGTCTGTCTGTCAGTCATTCTTTCAAGTCCAAGTGGTGTTCCCTCAACACACGGCTGGTTCAGCTCGTGACTCAGACACCACCCGCTCGGGCACTCTTCCTCACGGCAGCCACTGTCCTTCCCTCCTGGCATTTCACCACGCAGAATATTCAAGAGATGTGTACGCAAGGGTGGAGATTCAATACAATTAAGTACTGTTACTGCTTCCTCAGTATGCTGCATTTTTCCATGTGTGTGTGGTAGTGAAGGGACACTGACCACGGGTAGATCTTGGTGCCCCTGCCTTGATTTGGGCCGAGGTTCCAGCAGCTCTCTCCATCATGGCTTTTCCACCAGTGTAATGTCAGTGTATATGGCAGCTCTGGGAAAAGGGCAAATAATGCTTCAGTGTTATGAAAAGAGCTTTGACCTCACAGGTCCCCTGAAAGATCTCAGGACCCTAGGATTCCGTGGAACACACTTTGAGAACCACTGGTCTAGCTGCACTGGGCTCTTCTCCCCATGTGCCTGCTTTATATTGACTTATACGAAATTGCGGATATTTGATCATTTTTTCCCCGTACAAATGATGAATTCATATGATTCACACATATTGTCTTTACGTCTTTGCGTGTTCTGTCCCACCTACCTGGAATGCCCTTCTCTGTTGAAATTCTCCTCCTTCAAGGCCTGGCTCCTAGACCCCCATCTGCATTGCTCACTTCCTTTTCTGAGACACTCAGCACAGTCTTCCTTCAGCCAAGAGCTGTCTTGTCTACTCCTTGGCGAGTGTCTCGGTGGTGGAGGACCAGCCGTGTTTGTCTTTGTCTCCACAGGGCCTGTTGGCACCCTCGCTGCCCTGCGGAGCTGGAGGTGAGCGCTAGTGTCAGGATTCTGCTCGCTCTTGGGGCTGTGAGAGTCATGTGGACCCGGCACCCAGGTAAAGCACAGGATCTGGGTGCCCCTGGCCACTGGGTGCCACTTCACAAACGGCAGCCTGATATCTAGAAGGAAGCCGATCCTCCTCAAGTCTGGAATCTTCTATCAGAAAGAACCCTGAACTCTGGCTGCAGCTGTCACGGACACCGGGCGATGAAAGGCTGGCACACTCAGTGGTCCACCCAAGAGAATGGGAGGGCGACAGGGATGGACAGATCCAGACACTCCTGGCGCGGAACGTGGTGGGAAGGAAGACACCCTGCAGGGACAGTGAGGACGAGAGGGGTCAAGAGGAAAGCTGGAGTCCAAGGATGCTCCCCCGTCGTGGCTGCATCCTGCCCCTTTCTTGTGCGTGTGACAGCTTTATTGAGACACAGGTCACACACCACGCAGTTCACTCACTCAAGTTTAACGTGCCCTTCAATGGTTTGGGTATATTCACAGAGTTGTGCGAGCATCACCACAGTCGGCTCTAGAACGTTTTCATTACCCTAGAAAGAAACCCTGTACCCTTCAGCTATCACCCCCAATCCCTCTTCCCCGCCCTCCCCCAGCCCTAAGCAGTCGCTCCTCTGCTTTCTGTCTCAGTAGATGTGCCTGTTCTGGACACTTTACATAAAACGAATCCTATAATATGAGGTCTTCTGTGGTTAGCTTCTTTCACTTAACTTCATATTTCAAGGCTCATCGATATTGTGACACGTGTCAGTACTTGCTTCCTTCTTAGAGCTGAATAATATTCCATATATGGATGGTCCACGTTTTCTTTATCCATTCATCCGTTGATGGACATCTGAGTTGTTTCCGCTCTGGGGCTGTTATGAATAATGCTGCTGTGAGCATTCGTGTACAAGTTTGTGTGTGGACCTGTGTTTCCAGTCCTCCTGTATTCTACTCAGGCATGGAATTGCTGGGTCAAATGTAACTCCATGGTTAACTTTCTGAGAAACTGTAGACTATTTTTCCAAAAGGGCTGCACCATTTTACATTCCCACCAGCAATATATGAGGATTCCAATTTCTCCACATCTTCATCAACACTTTTTATTATCTGACTTCTGGACGACAGCCATCCTCCTGGGTGGCTATCTGAAGTGGTGTGTCATTCTGAATTAATTTGCATTTCCCTGATGGCTAATGATGTTGAGCATCTTTTCCTGTGCTTAGGGGCCATTTGTGTATCTTCCCTGAGAATTATCTACTCAGATCCTTTGCCCATTTTTAATTGGGTTATTTGTCTTTTTATTGTTGAGTTGTAAGCGTTCTTCATATATTCTAGATACAAGTCCCTTAGCAGATACATGATTTGCAAAAATGTTATCACATTTGACAGATTGTCTTTTCACTTTCTTGATAGTGTCCTTTTGAAGCAAAAAAGTTTTAAGTTGATTTATTTTTTGTTGCTTGTAATTCTGGTGTCATATCTAAGAAATGATCGCCAACTCCAGGATTATGGCGACGTACTCCTGTGTTTTCTTCTAAGAGTTGTATAGTTTTCCCTGTTATACTTGATACCGTCAGAGTTAACTTTGTATATGATGAGTGTAGGGCTCCGACTTTGTTCTTTGGCACGTGGCTCTCCAGTTATCCAGCACCGTTTGTTGAACAGCTTTTCTTTCCCCAGTGAATTGTCTTGGTGCTCCTGTCAAGGGGTGGAGGAGTGGGGTCCAGGAAGGCTTCTCAAAGGAGGGACAGACGCCCACCCCCGTCAGGTAGAAGGAGGGTAGGAATTTGTCGGAGGACAGGGGAGGGTGGGGAGGGAAAGACCTGAGAGATGGGCTGGGGTGAAGGCCGGGAGGTGGAGCCAGAGGTGGGGTGGCATAGCTGGGGCCGGGCAGAGGGCGGGGGAATGGTGGGGGTCAGGAGGTCCTCACGAGCCCTTGTCCAGGCCAGAGCACCTGGGTCCCGAGCCCGTGGCAGCAGGAACTGAAGGGCTTCCGTCCAGGGTGACCCAGTTTTGGGACCATTGCCCTGGCAGCTGCTGGGAGAAGATAGAGGGCACTGGGCAGGACGGCGCGACCCTCTCGTTGTGGGACTCAGGCCCTCTGTCTGTCTGTCCATCTGGGAGACAGAGGAGGGAATCGTCGTTGCTGTGTCACTTGCACAGTCTCATCTGTTCTGTCTCCTCCCTGACAGCTTTTTGAAATGGATCTAACTGCCTCCATTTTTACAGATGAGGAGACTGAGGCTCATAGGGAGAGTGACTTCTTCAGAGTCACCCTGCTTTTCAGCGTTGGTGTGGGGACAAAGCCATGACTGTCCCGCCCCTCAGTCTGCTGAGTGTTTAGTTCTGTCCTGTGCCTGAAGAGTGGTCGTAGGGTGCCCCAGCCTCCACCAGAGGGCGCCAAAGCCCAGATTGGGTGCTGCAGCCCCCTCCCCCATGGATGGAGAGTCCCGGACTTGGCCCCCACCTCCAAGAACCGAGAGTCTCAGAGGCGGCCCCCTTACCCCAGCATCCCCTCCAAATTTGGCCCCAGTCCAGCCTTCACAGAACTCAGAACTCTGAGTTCCCAGGGGGCTTTGGAGCCTTCTGCCAGCCCAGGATAACAGGGTGGATTGGAATTAGGCAAAGGAGTGGGGATGTGGGACCCTAACACAGTGACTAAGGAGTCTCTGGGGCCCCTTCACTGTCCTAAACATTTGGCAAACTCTCCAAGGTCCTGGAGAGGCTCTGTGGTGTGTCCACTTGGAACCCTGCATCTGGGGGAGCCCCTGCAGGGATCCGGGTGAGCTCTGGTACAGGGTTTCCATTCCTGGCAGTGGCTGGTCAGGAGGAAGCCCTGTCCTCGCCACCCCCAGCCCCCAGGATCCCAGTGAGGGCGGTCTGATGTCCACAGTCCTGGAACTAGCCTGCTGGTCCCTCCCTCCTACCAGCCAGGGAGATCATGTGGAGCTGGCTGTGGCCTGGGGCTGCCCACACTGTGACCTCACAGTGTGCCAGGCTTGCAGGGAGGACAGGAGGACAGGAAGCCAGGCCGAGCAGCCTCCCCTTTCCCCACTTGGAGCCTCTCCCAGCTCCTGATGGGCAGCCAGGATGTGACGGGACACAGGCCAGAGAAAGAGACATGAGGATGTCACAGGGGCGGGTGCGGATGTCTGGGGGCTACTCGAAAGGGTCCCCAGAAGTGACTGGTGCTTCTCTGTGCAGGAAGATGGAGGGTTGTTCAGCATCTTTCCACTGTGAGGACAACACCACAAGGATCGTGGATTGGAGACCTGGAGCCTGGGCTCCCCTGGTCCCTGGAATTAACCAATCCCAGGACCACCGAGTTAGTGAGCTGTAGCAAAAGCACCCAGGAGATGCATGTCCTCACCCAGAGAGGACGCCCCCACCCACCCCCACACGGACTCACTTTGCTCATGGGACTCGCCCCACTGAGGTGACCATGTGACGGGATCGCTGTCCTGCTCTGTAATAGTTTGATGATATGACAATATCACCCAAGTAAGCTACAAATCCAAAGTCGTCTCTATCAAAATGCCACGTACATGTTTGGAGGAGCTCAGCAAACATACGCTAAAATGGAAGGACTGTGTCACCAAACAGTGAAGTCACCATGGAAACGGAGAATACCTGACGGGAAGACCCGGCGATGTCACGGTCGGAGAACGGTGTCTTCTAACCGCAGAAGAAGGTAGGGAGCTGGAGGGGGCGGGCGGTAGGAGACCCTCACCACGTACTCAGGGCCCCACCACCAACAGGCAAAGAGTCGGCTGTGTGGGCAATGCTGTTGGATGCTGGATCATTACATGGAGAAAGTAAAAATGTTCTTGACTTAACCCCACATACGGAGGGGCACTCCAGAGAGAGAATAAATATGCAAATGTAAAAGGCAGAAATATGAAGTTAGAAGAATCTTGTAACATCTGGGCAGGGGGTAACTTCTTACACAAAGATCCAAAAGCATAACCATAAGGCAAAAAACAATGATAAATTTGATTACATCAAAACTAGGACTTGTTGCCAATGGACACCACGAGCAAGTCAGAGAGAGATGAGAGGATGGGAAAGATATTTGCAACGTCTAAGATTAAGAGATCAACATCTCGGGAATGGACAGGAATGCCTGTGAATCATCAACGCTGATGGATGGGGCAACGACTGAGGCAGGGGCTTTGTTGTGGTCTCAGGGGGTGTGCGTGTGTGTGATGTGTGTGTACACGCGCGTGCTGGGGGGTGAGGGGCAGGGGACGTTCCTGGGACCAGGAAGAGCGTGAGTCTGGAGTAGTTTCCTGTTGCTGCTGTAACAAATTATCACAAATTGGGGGCTCTAAAAACGGAAATTTATTCTCTCCCTGTGCTGGAGGCCTGAAGTCTGAAACCGAGGTGTCAGCAGGGCTGTGCTCCCTCCAGAGGCTCTAGGGGAGGCTCCTTCTGGCCTCTTCTGGCTTCTGGTGGCCTCCGCCTTCCTTTCACTCCAGGCTGCCTCCGTCTTCACATGGCCTCCTCCTCTGTGTGTGTCAAATCTCCCTCTGCCTCTCTCCAGTGAGGACATATACGATTGCATTGAGGGCCCACCCAGATAATTCAGGATAATCCAGGATAATCTGTCCATCTCAAGAGCCTTAATTTAATAAATCTGCAAAGACTGTGCCCTATGAGGACATTGCACAGTTCCGGGGATGAGGTATCTTTGGGGCCATGGTTCAGCCCCCCACAGTGTCCCAGCCAGTGCAGAGTGGGAAGGCACCCGGCCGGTCCCTCCCAGCCTGACTTCACTCCCTCTGGGCCCTGAGGCTGCCTCAACCCTGCCTTCCCCTGCTTGTCAACTGACTGACTGACTGACTGACTGACGGAGCTTGTGTGGAGACCAGGAGTCTGTGTTCAGTGATCCAGGAGGAAACAGCACAGAAAGGGGCTGGGTGAGCCCAGAGTCACAGGGCAGAGTGAGGAGCCGCCCCTCCGAGACTCCATCCTTGTCACCCTCATCAGCTTGAGTGGAGTGCTGATTCTGTTCCAGGCACTGTGCTAAGCTTTGCCTGATAGTCTCCCCTCACCCTCCCCTGCACCCCATGAAGGAGCTACCCTTGTCACACTCATTGCACACTCGTCTTGTTCCAGGCTGCATACTGGACCCGGGATCGGAACCGCACAGCCCAGCGGGAGCCCCAGTGTGAACAGACAGAACATAAAAAGCATGCGGGGCATCTTACAGCCATGCACCCCCTCAGCTGCTTCTCTTCACCCATCAGCCCCACAGAAATGAAGGGCTGACGGCGCCCGGCGCCGGGAGGGCGTGAGGGGCCAGGAATGGGATGCACAGGCCCCTCCCACAGACACGGCTTCAGGTAAAGACTTTCCGCCAAATGGTCTGGAAGAGGTAAGCCACTCTCAGTGACCTCCCCCTTTTTGGTGTAACTACCAGACACACTAAATAAATATGCCATAAAAGTGACATTTTGACACTGTGATTTGGGCACAGACGTACCCATCAGTCTGGTCATCGTAGCAATTTTTGGTCAGAGAAAGTCATTGGGAGCAAATGTGAACCGTGCACCGTGTCTGGATGAAGCCCAAATGTACTTCGTCTCATAAACTTGTCAGGTGAGAGGAATCAAGTGGGTGGCCTCTTCTACACTCTCCCATCTGTTTGGTGGCGAGGTTTTTTCCATGTCTTGCAGAGTATGCCTGTATTTAGTCTTCATTCTGTCTTACAGATTTTTTTGTGTGCAATAACTTTATTTTTAAGTGCGTCTTCAATGTAACATAATCGTAAGCCTCCCCCAGAGGTTGAAATATTGGTAAAGAAAATAGTGGAGAAAGAATGTGTCTTCTGAAGAATAATTTCCTCCACCTGCCTTCATCAGCCGCCACCTGTTATCAAGTCTTTTCCTTCTTTGGTGGGAAAAATAAACCTTCACTACCTTAAATTTTATGTACAAATGCTATTTATTTACTTTCAAATAATTGAAGCTGTTCCTTACTTATATGAAATTGTTTTTCATTGTTCAACCATGTGTTTTTCTACATGTGAAAATTGTTTGACTATCTTGGATTAGGTAGGATAGAGATTTTCCCCCATTAAATTGATAGAAATATTTTAAAATTTTAATGTCTTCTTACTTATAAGCAGGTTTTTCAGATGAATTAAGTTGTTAAGTGTGAGACGTGCATTAGAAAATGGTCAATCTTGAGAAGTCAGAAAAAAGCAGTATGTTAACCTAAAAAATAGAAAGAAAGATAAAGATAAGGTCAGAAATTGGTAGCATAGAAATGAACTTACTATAAGGGAGCATCAACAAAGTCAAATGTCGGATCTTTGCAAAGACTAAAAAAAATGGATTATGGCTTGGTGAGACTGATCAAATAAAAAGAGCCCAAATAACCAATATCATCTATGAATGGAGCTAGCAGTACAAATTTTACAGATGTTAAAATGATCATAAAGTGTTATCAATCATTTTATGGTGATACATTTGAAATTTAGATGAGATGGACAATTTCCTAGGAAATCAAGACTTGCCAAAACTGACATAGCAAGAATTATAAATTATGGAATCATGTCATCTGCAAACAGCAAGAGTTTCACTTCTTCCTTTCCAATTTGGATTCCTTTTATTTCTCTTTCTTGCCTTATTGATCTGGCCAAAACCTCCAGTACTATGTTGAATAAGAGTGGTGAGTGTGGGCACCCTTGTCTTGTCCTGTTCTCAGAGGGATGGCTTTCAGTTTTTCACCATTAAGTATGATGTTAGCTGTGGGTTTGTCATATATGGCATTTATTATGTTGAGGTACTTTCCTTCTATATCCATTTTATTCAGAGTTTTTATCATAAATGGGTGTTGGATCTTGTCAAACGCTTCCTCTGCATCTACTGAGATGATCGTGTGATTTTTATTTCTCATTTAGTTAAAATGGTATATCACATTGATTTGTGGATGTTGAACCATCCCTGTGTCCCTGATATAAATCCCACTTAATCATGGTGTATGATTCTTTTAATATATTGCTGTATTCTGTTTGCCAGTATTTTGTTGAGCTTTTTTTGCATCTGCGTCCATCAGCGATATCGACCTGTAATTTTCCTTCTGTGTCTTGTCCTTGTCTGCTTTTGGTATCAGGGTGATGTTGGTCTCATAGAGTGAGTTAGGAAGCATTCTGTCTTCTTCAATTTTTGGAATAGTTTGAGAAGGATAGGTATTAAATATTCTTTGAATGTTTGGTAGAATTCTCCAGAGAAGCCATCTGGTCCTGGACTTTCATTTTTGGGGAGGTTTTTGATTACTGTTTCAATCTCTTTACTCGTGATTGGACTATTTAGATTCTTTATTTCTTCTTGATTCAGTTTTGGGAGGTTGTATGAGTCTAAGAATTTATCCATTTCTTCTAATTTGTCCAATTTGTTGGCATATAGTTTTTCATAGTATTCTCTTATAATCCTTTGTATTTCTGTCTTATTCGTTGTAATTTCTTCTCTTTCATTTCTAATTTTATTTATTTGAGCCTTCTCTCTTTTTTTCTTTTGTGAGGAGGATCGGCCCTGAGCTAACATCTGCCAATCCTCCTGTTTTTGCTGAGGAAGACTGGCCCTGGGCTAACATCCATGCCATCTTCCTCCACTTTATATGGGATGCCGCCACAGCGTGGGTTGCCAAGCAGTGAGTTGGTGCGCACCCAGGATCCGAACCGGTGAACCCCGGGCCGCTGTAGCAGAGTGCGCGCACTTAACCACTTGCGCCAGGGGGCTGGCCCCTCTCTTTTGTTCTTGATGAGTCTGGCTAAGGGTTTGTCAATTTTGTTTATCTTCTCAAATAACCAGCTCTTAGTTTCATTGATCTTTTCTACTGTTTTTTTAAGTCTCTATTTCATTTAATTCTGCTCTAATTTTTATTATTTCCCTCCTTCTGCTGACTTTGGGCTTTGTTTGTTCTGCTTTTTCTAGGTCTGTTAGGTGTAGTTTAAGATTACTTATTTGAGATTTTTCTTCTTTGTTGAGGTAGGCCTGGATTGCTATAAATTTCCCTCTTAGAACTGCTTTTGCTGCATCCTGTAAGTGTTGGTATGTTGTGTTTTCATTTTCATTTTTCTCCAGGTATTTTTTGATTTCTCCTTTGATTTATTCATTGACTCAATGGTTGTTCAGTAGCATGTTGTTTAGTCTTCACATATTTGTGACTTTTGCAGCCTTTTTCTTGTAGTTGATTTCTAGTTTCACGGCATTGTGGTCAGAAAAGATGCTTGATATGATTTCAATCTTCTTAAACTTATTGAGGCTTGCCTTGTTTCCCAACATATGGTCTCTCTTTGAGAATGTTCCATGTGTACTCAAGAAAAATGTGTATTCTGTCATTTTTGGATGGAATATTCTATATATATCTATTAAGTCCATCTGGCCTAGTGTTTCATTTAAGGCCACTGTTTCCTTGTTGTCTTTATGTCTGGATGATCTTTCCATTGATATAAGTGGGGTGTTGAGGTCCCCTACTATTATTGTGTTGCTGTCAATTTCTCCCTTTAGGTCTGTTAACAGTTGCTTTATATACTTTGGTGCTCCTGTGTTAGGTGCATATATATTAATAAGTGTTATGTCCTCTTGATGGAGTGTCCTTTTTATCATTATATACTGCCCTTCTTTGTCTCTCGTTGTCTTTTTTTAAATTTTTCATGAGGAGATCAGCCCTGTGCTAACATCTGTCAATCCTCCTCTTTTTTTTGCTGAGGAAGACTGGCCCTGGGCTAACATCCGTGCCCATCTTCTTCCACTTTATATGGGATGCCGCCACAGCATGGCTTGACAAGCAGTGCAATGGTGCACACCCAGGATCCAAACCGGCAAACCCCGGGCTGCCGCAGCGGAGCGCAGGCACCCAACCACTTGCGCCACTGGGCCGGCCCCTCTCTCGTTGTCTTTTTTATCTTGAAGTCTGCTTAGTCTGATATAAGTATGGCAGCACCTGATTTCTTTTGCTTGCCGTTTGCTTGGAGTATCATCTTCCATCTCTTCACTCTGAGCCTGTGTTTGTCTTTAGAGCTCAGATGCGTTTCCTGGAGGTAGCATATTGTTGGGTCTTGCTTTTCAATTTATCCAGCCACTCAGTGTCTTTTGATTGGAGAATTTAATCCATTTAAATTTAGAGTAATTATTGATATATGAGGGCTTAATACTTCCATTTCACCTCTTGTTTTATGGTTATTCTAGGTTTCCCTTGTTTCTCTTCCCTTGTATTTCTGACTGCCATTTCAGTTTGGTGGTTTTCTGTGAAAGTTTTCTCTTTATTTATGATTTGTGGCTCTGCTCTGATTTTTGGTACAGTGGTTACCATGATGTTTGTATAAAAGATCTCATAGATGAGATAGTCCATTTTCTGATAGCCTCTTATCTCCATTAGCCTAACCAGGTTCCATCCTTTCCTCTTCTCTTTCTGAGTTATTGTTGTCACAAATTATTCTTTTTTGTGTGTTGTGAGTTTGTGACTAAATTGAAGTGTTTATAGTTATTTTTGATGCTTTCATTCCCTTTGTATTTTATGTTATATTTTAGTGTTTGCTAACCTGTTCTGATAGCTGCAATTTCTGATTTTCTCTATTTATCTCCTTGCTGAAAGATTTGTAAACTTTTGCCTTTTTGTTTCAGGTAGGAGGGCTTCCTTCATCATTTCTTGTAAAGGAAGTCTAGTAGCAATGAACTCCCTCAGCTTTTGTTTATCTGGGAAAGTCTTTATTTCTCCATCATATCTGAAGGATGGTTTCACTGGATAGAGTATTCTTGGCTGAAAGTTTTTGTCTTTCAGTATTTTGAATATATCATTCCATTCTCTCCTAGCCTGTAAGGTTTCTGCTGAGAAATTGCTGAAAGCCTGATAGGGGTTCCTTAGGTTATTTTCCTCTGACTTCCTGCCTTTAATATTTTTTCTTTGTCATAAATGTTTGCCAGTTTTACTATTATATGCCTTGGAGAAGGTCTTTTTTGCATTGATGTAATTAGGAGTTCTATTGGCTTCATGTATTTGTAAGTCCAGTTCCTTCTCCAGGTTTGGGAAGTTCTCAGCTATTATTTATTTAAACAAACTCTCTGTTCCTTTCTCCCTCTGGAATACCTATAATCCTTACATGGCTTTTCCTAATTGAGTCAGATATTTCTCAAAGAATATCTTAATTTTTAAAAAATCTTAGTTCTCTCTCCTCCTCCATCTGAAGTATTTTTAGATTCCTGTTCACTAATTCTGTCCTCCATAACGTCAGCTCTATTATTTATGGTTTCTAGATTATTTTTTATCTCATTATTTGTGTTCTTCATATCCAGAATTTCTGTATAGTTTTCTTTAAGGGCTTCAATCTCTTTGGTGAAGTATTCCTTATGATCATTTATTTTATTGCTGAGCGCATTGAACTGTCTCTCTGAGGTTTCTTGTAACTTGTCGAGTTTCTTTATGACCACTATTTTAAATTCTCTGTCATTTTGATTATAAATTTCTGTGACTTCAGGATTGGTTTCTGGAGACTTGTCATTTTCCTTCTGCTCTGAAGTGTGACTGTGGTTTTTCATGGTGTTTGATGAACTGATCCTTTGCTGGCACATTTGTAGTAATATCAGGTCACAGATTCCACCTGCCACTGCTGGTGAGGAGCAGGAGCTGTGTTTCTGATCCTGCCCAATCTGCTGGAAGTTCTGTGGGTATGGCTGCCCTGCATTTGTGTGGGCCGGCCACAGCTGCTCAGCGAGTCACTCTTGTGGGGATGCAGCCTCTGTGCTCAGTGGGCTGGTCACACAGGTGCAGGCCGGCCCTGTGCTCTCAGGTGGTTTGGCTGAGTCGCTGCACGTGGTGGGCGGGGCACCTTCATGAGGGTTGAGCTGCTGCCACTTGGTGGGGAGTGTTCCCATGGGTAGGGCTGCTGCAGCACTGTGGGTGCTCCTGCAGGCCAGGCTACTCCTCTGAAGGTGTTTGTGCATGGGCCATGCTACCTCCACCTTCTCTTACAGTCGCACCCCCGGCTGTGCTTGGTGGGCAGGGCTCCTCCGTGGGGGCTGAGCTGCTACCACTCAGTGGGAGCATTCCCACAGGGTGGACTGCTGCAGGACGGTGGGCACTCCCGCGGGCCAGGCTACCCCTCCGAAGGTGTTCGTGAGTGCACCGGGCTGCTTCCACCTCCTCTTACAGTCGCATTGGCTGCTGGGCTTTGTAGGCGGGGCTCCTTCACTGGAGCTGAGCCACTGCCACTCAGGGGGGAGCGTTCCCACAGGCAGGGCCACTGAGGCACAGTGGGCACTCCTGCGGGCCAGGCTACCACTCCAAGCTACCATGCCGGGCTGCCCCTGCCTCCTCTTACAGTCCCTCCCATCTGCTGTGTGAGGCTCCATGACCTGGCTTGCTGCTGGGGAGGGGAAGGGGTGCGCTCACCTAGTTCCACTGCTCCCCAGGTATCCAGTCCACCCACCTTCAGATGTATAGCTGCGTGGATCTCTCAGGCATCCTATTCTGCTGTGTGGGAATCCTCTGTTGGTTACTGAGTGTCTGTTTAGTTGTAACTTAAGCAGGGAGAGACAAAGGGAACAGCTCCCTCTGCCATGATGCTGATGTCACTGTCTGTAAGGAAATTTTTATAACCCAGCAACTTTACTAAAGTCACGTATTAACTGTAATTTATCTGTAAATCCTTTGAGATTTTCTACAGAGACAACGATATCTCTGAATTGTTAGTTTTGTTCTGTACTGCAGTTGTATCTAATTGACTGTTAAACCAGTTAGTGTTTAATATTGGTTGAATTATTACTATAACTTTCATTTCTAGCAGATCTACTGGAATATCTTATAACTCTCTATGGTCTTGATATAGAGTCACTTCCTTATAATGTTAAGCCCTTCATTCTTTAGTATAGGGGCCAGCCCTATAGGGGTGTAGTGGTTAAGTTTGCATGCTTCACTTCAGGGGCTGGGTTTTGCAGGTTTGATCCCAGGTGTAGACCTACACATGCTGTGGTGGCCTACTACATACAAAATAGAGGAAGACAGGCACAGATGTTGGCTCAGGGACAACCTTCCTCCAGCAAAAAGAGGAAGATTGGCAACAGATGTTAGCTGAGAGCCAGTCTTCCTCAGAAAAATAAATAAATAAATACACTAAAAAAATAAAAAGTATAATTATATTCCGTGTCTGATAATTCCACTCTCTCCAGTTTCTTTCCTATGATTCTGCTTGCTCTCTCTCATGGTGTTTTGTGATTTTTTTTTTTTTTTTTTTTTCTTTCCTATGATTCTGCTTGCTCTCTCTCATGGTGTTTTGTGATTTTTTTTTTTTTTTTTTTGATGTTAAGATGCCTCTTTTCCTTGGAAATTTACTGGGAAGTCTTTGAATCCTAAATTGAACTGTGTTCCTTAAAGAACAATTGCAGTCTATCTTTGTATTGGTCTCTAGTTTTGCTACAGTGTAACTAGAGGATAAGATCCAGAAGATTTTTCTTTTAGGAATTGTTATGCACTGAATTGTACCCCCTAAAACTTTTATATTCAAGTCATAACCCCCAGTACCTCTGAATGTGACTGTATTTGGAGATAGGGTCTTCAAAGAGGTAATTAAGTTAAAATACGGATATGGTGTGCCCTAATCCAACACGACTGGTGTTCTTATAAGAGGAGGAGATTAGGACACAGACACCCACAGAGGGAAGACCATCTGGGGGAGACAGCCATCCACAAGCCAAGGGGAGAGGCCTCAGGAGAAATGAACCCTGCCAACACCTTGATCTTAGAGTTGTAGCCTTTGGAATTGTGAGAAAATACATTTGTTGTGTAAGCCGCCCAGTCTGTGGCACTTTAGCCCTAGCAAATTAATACTGGAATTAAGTTTTTCTTGGTTGCTAATAAATAATCAATTGTGGTATTAAATGTCCACAAGACAGGAAGATCTATGTGCTTGCAGTCACATTTGTAGAGGTTTGTAGAAAAGCAGTTTCTGGGACTCAGCCCTCAAACATAGGCAAGATGTGTCCTTCATCTATTAATGGACTTTCAGCACTGGGGTCCCCATCTAGTCAGGGAGCAGGAAATAAAAGCAGTCAGTCTTGAGCCCCGCCCTCTCCAAGGATTGCACCAGAACAGGGAAGAATGACAGAGGCAAGGAACCCTGGGAAAGGCCTTGCTCGCCGCCTGGCCCATGGCTGTGTGGGCTCACGAGGGCCTGAGGCAGCTGCATTCATGGAGACGGGGGTGAGTTTGCCCCAGCAGAGAGTTCCTCAGGGTGCAGCCTCTGCTGTCCCTCACCCTGTCATTCCCCTCAGAGGGCTGGGAGGGGTCAGAGAGCATCCCTAGGGCTGGAGGACAGG